GTACAACCTACCATGAAATCGATTCCCTTGTGGATTACGTTAACAAATGTTCCGTTAACTATGTTCACAGATAAGGGTCTTGAATTCTTGGCAAGTGCTGTGGGAAGACCTATACGGTTGCATCCTAAAACAGAAGCTTGTGTGAGTTTTGAGGAAGCTCAGATTCTGGTAGAAGCGGATTTGACCAAGGATCTGCCAAAAGAGTATGACTTAACAGGGGAAGAAGAAGGAGAGCTAGACGCAGTGGTTCAGTATGCATACCCATGGCTGCCACCGAGATGTAGCTGTTGTAAGAAATGGGGACACCTTCTAAACACATGTCTTTCGGTTGAAAAAAAGGTAGCGCAGGAGAGCTCAGTTCAGACTTCCCCCGTGGTTGAAGCAGAGCAACCTCAACAATTTTCTGTCCAAGAAGCGGATAACAATAGAACAGCAGACCTAGAGGTAGAGAAGAGTCTAACTGCAGTCTTAATAGGCAATGATGCAACAGAGAAGGCATCAAATGTTGAAGAGGAATTAACCCAAGGCTGGATCACCCCATCAAGACGTGGACACAGCCCAAATAAAAAAGCAGACAAACTTAAATATGGTGAAGTCTCTCTTCTTTCAAATGCGTACTCTGCTCTTAGTGGAGAAGACGAGTTGGAAGGAGGAAGCATTTCGTTAAAAGATGATGAGAACGCGGGGCTGCAGGAGCCAGCAACAACGGAGACGCTGCAAACGGTTTCTCATGGTCCAAGAGCAGTAAAGGCTCGCAAACCTGAGGTGCCATTGCGCCAATCCCTTCCAAGAGAATTAAAAACAGCCCATAAAACCATCTCCATTTCTTCTTCTCAAACCACTAGGGACTCCTCTAGAGATCAGAGTAAGAAGAATCCCCCCAAAAAACATTAATGTCGGGTTTCTTTTGGAATGTGCGCGGTTTAAATAAATTAGAAAAGCATTCCGTAATAAAGAAGTGGGTGGAAGAACAGAATTTCCAGTTTGGTTGTTTGATAGAGACACGGGTCAAGGAGAATAAATCTCAGAGGTTGTGTGGTAAGCTATTTAAAGACTGGTCTGTAATGACAAACTATGAGTATAATCGGCGAGGTCGGCTTTGGGTGGTCTGGAAAAAAAGTGTGAGGCTTACTCCCTTTTTCAAAAGCGGTCAACTTGTTACATGCTCTGTGCAACTAGAAAACCATGAGGATGAGTTTTTCTGCTCATTCGTCTATGCATCAAATTTTGTGGAGGAAAGAAAGGAACTATGGGATGATTTGAAAGCTCACTACGACTCTCCTATCATCCGTAAGAAGCCTTGGATAATTTTTGGCGACTTTAATGAAACTTTGGACTTGGTAGAACACTCAAAATCAGATGATAACCCTATGGTAACTCCGGGAATGAGGGATTTCCAAGGGATGACAAATTATTGTTCCCTTGCAGATTTGGCTTTTCATGGTCCCCTGTTTACATGGTCAAATAAAAGAGAGAATGATCTAATTGCCAAAAAATTAGATCGAGTCTTGGTAAATGATGCTTGGCTTCAGTCTTATCCGCAGGCGTATAGTGTATTTGAAGCTGGAGGATGCTCTGATCACTTGCGCTGCAGAATCAATCTGAATATTGGGGCTGGTGGTGTGGTAAAAGGAAAAAAACCATTTAAGTTTGTTAATGTACTCACTGAGATGGAGCAGTTCAAGCCAATGATGGAGAGCTACTGGAAAGAGACAGAACCTCTCTTTATGTCTACATCTTCCCTTTTTCGGTTTTCAAAGAAACTTAAAGGTCTTAAGCCTAGCTTAAAGAACTTGGCAAAGGAGAGAATTGGTAATCTAGTCAAGAAAACCAAGGAGGCGTACGAGAACTTATGTCAGAAACAAGAGAATAATTTGTCTAATCCTTCACAGTACGCAATGCAACAAGAGAATGAAGCTTATGATAAGTGGGTTCACGTGGCTGCATTGGAAGAGAAGTACTTGAAACAAAAGTCTAAACTGCATTGGTTGAAGATAGGGGATAGAAACAACAAGGCTTTTTATAGAGCTATAACAACTCGTGAATCACAAAATGCGATACGAGAAATTCATCTACAAGATGGTAGCGTGACGAGGCAAGCAGAGGAAATCAAGAAAGAGGCTGAACGGTTTTTCAGAGAGTTTTTGCAGCTAGTTCCGAATGATTATGAAGGTTGTACGGTGGCTGAACTTCAAGAATTATTACCTTATCGCTGCACAGAGATAGACAAAGTGATGTTAACCGCTATGGTTTCGCCAGAAGAGATTAAGAAAGTTTTGTTCTCAATGCCGAGTGACAAGTCCCCAGGACCGGACGGTTTCACATCTGAATTCTATAAAAGTGCTTGGGATATCATAGGCGATGAGTTTGTCTTGGCAATTCAGTCCTTCTTCACCAAAGGTTTCTTACCTAAAGGTATTAATTCCACGATCTTAGCTCTCATCCCCAAAAGAACAGAGGCAAAGGAGATGAAAGATTACAGGCCTATCTCATGTTGCAACGTGCTATATAAGGTTATCTCAAAAATAATTGCAAATAGACTCAAAGCAGTGCTTCCAAATTTTATATCGGGGAATCAGTCGGCTTTTGTTAAAGATCGTCTCTTGATTGAAAATGTGTTATTGGCGACGGAATTAGTAAAGGACTATCACAAGGATTCTATCTCGGGTCGCTGCGCACTAAAAATTGATATCTCCAAAGCATTCGATTCAGTCCAATGGAGCTTCATCACCAACACCCTTCTCGCCATGAATTTCCCGTCGGATTTCATTCATTGGATTACTCTATGCATCACTACGGCTTCATTCTCAGTTCAGGTGAATGGGGAATTAGTGGGCTTCTTCAGAAGTGCTAGAGGCTTAAGACAGGGCTGCTCCCTTTCCCCGTACTTATTTGTTATGAGTATGGAGGTGCTATCCAAACTGCTTGATAAAGCTGCCGGTGCAAGAAAATTCGGTTACCATCCGAAATGTAGATCACTTGGTTTGACCCACTTGAGCTTTGCCGATGACCTTATGATCCTCTCTGACGGAAAAGTGCGTTCCATTGAAGGTATAGTTCAGGTGCTTGATAATTTTGCAAAATGGTCTGGACTAAAGATAAGTATGGAGAAGTCCACTATGTTCTTAGCGGGAATTCAGGAACCTGTCCATCACGAGATCACTCAACGTTTCTCTTTTGAAATTGGTCAACTACCAATAAGGTATCTCGGGCTTCCTCTTGTTACAAAGAGATTCAACTCTTCAGACTACCTCCCTTTAATAGAGCAAATCCGCAGGAAAATAGAATCTTGGAAATCACGCTTTCTCTCATTTGCTGGAAGGCTAAACTTGATAAGCTCAGTTCTTTGGAGTATATGTAATTTTTGGCTTGCAGCTTTCAGACTCCCTCGAGCGTGCATCCGCGAAATTGAAAAAATATGTTCAGCGTTTCTGTGGTCGGGTATAGAGTTAAGCTCCAAGAAAGCAAAAGTATCATGGGATATGGTTTGTAAACCAAAAAATGAGGGAGGTCTGGGGCTCCGCTCATTACGTGAAGCAAATGAGGTTTGTTGTTTGAAATTGATCTGGCGTATTGTCTCCCGCAACAGCTCTTTATGGGTTAAGTGGACAGCAGCAAACCTCCTACGACAAAATTCCTTTTGGTCAGTGAAAGAGAGCTCTGTTTTGGGGTCTTGGATTTGGCGAAAACTGCTCAAGTACAGAGCGACGGCACAAACATTCTGTAAGGTGGATGTTAGAAATGGAGAAGCCACCTCTTTTTGGTATGATAACTGGTCGGAGTTAGGGAGACTAATGGAGGTGACAGGAGATAGAGGAGTAATTGATCTGGGAATAAATAGAAGTCTCACAGTCGCAGAGGCTTGGTCTACCCGCCGAAGAAGAAGGCATCGGACAGAACCTCTAAACCAAATTGAAGAGGCTCTTCAGGTAGCAAGAGAACGACGGACAGAGGACAATGATGTAGTGCTCTGGCGAGGCAAGAACGACACATTCAAAGACTGTTTCTCAACTAAAGATACATGGAACAGAATCAGAACCACATCAAATGAAGTTACATGGCACAAGGGAGTTTGGTTCCCCCATGCAACTCCCAAATACTCTTTTTGTGTTTGGCTCGCAGTCCTTAACAGGCTTGCAACAGGGGATAGGATTGACAAATGGAACACGGGTTCTCAAGTGGGATGTGTGCTCTGCAATAACGACTTAGAAACCCGAGACCATCTTTTCTTTCAATGCGGCTATGGGTCAGAAATTTGGGCTGCTTTGGCTAAGAACATTTTCAAAACAAGGTACTCAACGGACTGGCACTCCCTCATTTCCTATATCTCCAATATGCAACACAACCGAATCGAGAGTTTTTTGGCACGTTACATCTTTCAAGCATCCGTTTACACAATTTGGCGAGAGCGGAATGGTAGAAGGCATGGAGAACCTCATAACTCGGCAGGTCAACTAGTTGCTTGGATAGACAAGCACACTCGGAACACTCTTTCGGCTATTAAACTTTTGGGAGATCGAAGATACGACAAAGGGCTACAAAGGTGGTTTGAATCAAGGCTTTGAGTTTCTTTGAGTTTCAGTTTTACAGATTTTAAATATCAGTCAAACGTTGCACTAGTTGTACAAACGATATTTTTTCTTTGAATATAATTTAACATTAGATTCAAAAAAACAATATATATATATATATATATATATACCTATTTGAAAGATTCCACTTTGTTTGATTTTGAGTTTGGGTTCCCACTTTTTTCTTATTTTATTTTTTCTTATAGAAGAAAACAAAAAACAAATGAAGGATGGTCAAATCAAATTTTAGCTTGTTTTTTTTTTGAACACCTAAATGCTTTTGTAACACATTTTCTCTTTATACAATAAAAGTATAATATTATTATGGGTGAAATCGAAAATCGTACCGTCACAATTTTTAAATTATTTTATTTTTAATGATTGCTGACTTTTTAATGAAGTATAGTAAGCTTTTTGTTTTCCGTCGATCACAAAAGCATTTCCGTATTTATAAAGTCTTCTCAAGAAATTGGAAGAACAACAACCCTAAATCCAACCAATTTGTAACACAAGATCACAGGTATTTTCACTTTAAATTTTTTTATCATTTGAATTAACAAGGATCGAATCTTTTTTCTGATTATTTTTGGGTTTTATTGTCCTGCTGCCAAAAAAAAGATTTAAATTTTGTAATTAAGCCTATTGTTCTTAAGATCTTGGGCTCTTTCTTGGGATTACTATATGATGATCATATAGGTTTTATGAGGATTTTATGAGAATTAGCTCTCAATTGTTAATAGGTTTGACCATCCATATATCGATCTTCGTTTCAAATCTGTTTTCGTCTTCTTCTTAATTAGTTGTTATGATCTCTCATCATGCATGTTCTTGATTCGTTCGTTGTCGGATCATAAAGCTCTAAAACAGATTCAGATCCATCTCTCTCTCTTTTAATAATTTGTTAGTCGTCCACCGTAACTATCATTTCTCTTATTTACCATTGATAATCCCAACGGATCATTGAATCAAGATCGGGAGCCTGAAACTTTTTTTTTTTTTTTTGGTTATTTTAGCAGCACAATAAATTATTCTATATTTACCAAAGTTATTGAAAAATGTTGGCATTCGTGAAATGCTTCTCGTTGAAGCGAACAAAACATCCTCGTGGATATGAGGATCCTCATGTTCTTGCATCCGAAACTCCCTGTAAGTCAAACCAAACAAACAAAAACCACAACATCTCATTATGAATTGAATAATCATAATATTAATTAAGAAAGAAAAATAAGATATAACGAATATGATGAGCTGTATCTAGATGCATTGAAGCTATTTATAGAGGTCATAAATAATTGATCTATGCATGCAGTTACAGTGAATGAGATAGAGGCTTTACATGATTTATATAAGAAGCTAAGTACATCCATTATCGATGATGGTCTAATCCATAAGGTAACATTTATTTGTTTAATGGATTTTTTTTATTTATATACATTAAAAAAGTTGTATATTAAATCTAAAAATAGCATTTTTGGAATTTGATTCGCATCTACATGACCTAATATTTTATGAGCAGGAAGAGTTTCTTCTGGCTTTGTTCAGAAACAGCAGTATGCAAAATCTGTTTGCGGACAGGGTTCGTATATCTATTCCATAATATTGCATCATTAATTATAAACATATTTTTTTGTTTAATTACATATTTCAATGTATATTAATGACGACAAGAAAAATAAAAAAGGTGTTTAGTTAAATAATTAGGAAAAAGTGGTGCATGCAGGTGTTTTATATGTTTGATAGGAAACGCAATGGTGTGATTGAGTTTGGAGAATTTGTTCGTTCACTTAGCATCTTCCATCCATACACTCCCGAACATGAAAAATCTGCATGTACGTATCTATATATAAACACTTCACGATCATGAAGATATACGTGTTTCTTTACGTGTCTAAGAGATTAACTAAATCGGTTATAATATGTTGTAAATATTGTAGTTATGTTCAAGCTTTTTGACCTCCATGGAACCGGGTTCATCGAGCCCCATGAGGTAATCATAAAATTCTATAGATCTATAAATTGTTGAATAAATAAAATGGTGAAATATTATCTTTACACAAACAAGTAAAAAGCAATTGGAAAAGTCTTACCTTCAAATTTTCATTTTTTTGGTTCAAATTGCAAAGTTGTTGAATATAGATTGCAACCTTCCAAAACCACAAAAAATATTCTTCTCATAGCAAAGACACATACACAAACATTTTGATTTGTAAAAGGTTTTGGTTGGAAATTACTTGAAGAAGATGGTGGGCGCACTACTAGGTGAAACAGACTTAGAACTCTCGGAAGAATCTATTGAAGCTATCGTGGAACAGGTCATGCAATATACCTAATTTTAATCTAATCTTTCTTATTATGACATTAATATTCCTATATCTATTTAATATATCTTATGTTGAATTTGTGAATTGATTTTTACCAACAGACAATGCTCGAGGTTGATACAAACAAAGATGGGAAGATTGATGAAGAAGAGTGGAGAGAGCTCGTTGCTAAGAATCCTTCAATCCTCAAGAACATGACTCTGCCTTACCTCAAGTATACTATTTAATTTGTTTACTTTTATTTCAAAAATATTTATTTGACATCTCGTATGATTAGTTCTTAATTAATTACGTCGTCGTTTTTAATGATTTATAGGGAAGTGACATTAGCATTTCCAAGCTTTGTACTCGACTCTGAAGTAGATGACTAGAGGAAACCTTTGGAAGAAGCCAGAGTTTTTACCGAATTATACTTTTGAGGTCTTTTAATCCTTTTTCTGTATAATTCGGAATCCATTCGACAACATCTGGTACAGAAACAGATTTGCAATTTTTTTTTTTTTTTTTAATGTTTCACGTTCGTTTTAGTTACTGTTGATAGTCCATTTCTAAGGGAATTTTTACAATGAAATAACAATTTTCTTATAAAATCTTTTAAAAGGTTTTTCAATTGTACCCAAGATCGTTATAAAACCAAACTGATGGTATTGTCGTAATACAACGGCGGCCCATAGCTGTATTTGGGCCGATCGATTCAAATTGTCCTGGTTTTAAAGAGAGACTAGATCGTGAACGAATGATCTGAAGACACGTGACAAACATGGTCGCACTCGTAACGGTCACTGGTGAGCAACGGCTAGAGGAGGAGCCACTGCAGCAGCAGCGTCGGGTCCACACGTGTGTCGATGTATGTGCGCCCAGTTGCTTTTGAATTTTAAAGAGATATTTACTTTGGTTTGTTGTATTCATGTACCAATAAATCGTGATAACATTAACTTATCTTCTTACAAATATACGTCAGGTCAATTATTTTATTGTCAGATGAAAGTCACCGGCCATACTAGATGTTATCAACTACCAAATTTTATTATTAAAGCTTAAATGCTATTTGGTTGATTTTGTACAAATTAAATATAATAATCTCAGTTTTTTACCCAATTTAATTTAGCTTACCTGGTTAAACCAATTTTTGGTAATGCATGTGGGACTCTAATTTGAACACAACTCGTTTAATCAAATAATTTATAATACTATTTAATCATGAAGTGGTTAAATAGTATTATAAATTTATAATACTAGTATCCTTTAATAATTTATAATTAAGGATAGATGCATGAACTGGTCATCGATCGAATCTTGTCGAAATAAACGTTTGTTATATCTTTAATGTTGTTTTATGTTATGACTCACACTTTCCTTTGAACCTTCTTTCGTGGTACAACTCCCTTGAAACGATCACATTATTGAAAGTTCATAAAACAATTTCAAAATTCTTTGTCATCAATGGTGAATGAAATATTTATTATACAGAATTATCATGTCATTATGTTAATTCAAAGCTAGAAATTTAAAGATCCTTTTTACTAATTTTCGTTTCTTGAATGGCATTTGTTTAATGGGGGTAATCCTAATACAGGAGGAGGATTCTACGAACCTACATGATTCATTAGTACTCATAATACATTTTAGATATTTTAAAAATTTATTGGGGAAAGTTACTAGATTAACCTAAATTATGAGTTTAATTACTAAAGTGTCTTAAAAAATTTAGGGATTAAATGAGTTATTTTCGTGACCATAATACCCTTTCTCTCTTTGTTAGGAATAAAAAAAAAAGTCAAAATTACCCTTAAATAAATAATAAAAACGTGGGCAAAAAATATTAGGAAAAAAAAATTATTTGAAAAGTCTGCCGGATAAGTTGTGACAGATTTAATTTTCATGACAGACTTATTTGTCTCCAACAGATTTTTTGCGACAGATTTTTTTTCTTCCACATACTTACTTGAAATATGTGACGACAGATATTTAATTTGTAACAGATTTTTTCTCTACGACAGATTTATTTTATGATGACACCACAGACTTTTGTAATTTTGACAGATTTATTAAAATATGTGGCAGATTTATTATTTCAGTGGCGTCAGACTTATATTTTTTTGATAAAAATCTATCATAATGTAGCAGATTTGTTAATGAAAAAATAATTACTAGTTTGACTTATTAGTGATAGCAGATTTCTTTTATGTTATGACAGTTTTTTTTGTTTTAACAAAAATCTGGAGTGTGATAGCAGATTTGTTATTTAAAAATATAAATTGCTAGAATGACATATACTCGCAACCAAAATGTTTTATGTTATGACAGATTTTTTTTATATTATGACAAATTTCAGATTGGATATAAAAAAATCTGTCAATGATGACAGTTTTATTGATGAAGATAGAATTTTAATCTGCATAATATGGTAATGACAGACATATTCTTACCGCGACAGACTTATTTATATTAAATGACTCATGTGCGGCTCTCATCTTGTTAATATATGATTAATTTTTTTTCGTTTTAGATAAATATATTTATTTTTTCGAATTTCTATAGTTTTTTCGTTTTGTATTTTTTATTTCATTTTATATTTTTTCAATTTTTATATTTTTTTTTTTTTTTTTTTATTTTTATTTTATTTTTTTCGTTATATATAAAATTTTTAATCTAATTTTTTTTCGTTTTGTATTTTTTTTCGTTTTATATATTTGTTTTCAATTTTTATTTTTTATTTTGTTTTATATTTTTTTTCGTTATATATATAATTTTTTTAATTTAATTTTTTTTCGTTTTATATTTTTTTCAATTCTTTGTCTTTTATATTTTTTTTCGTTTTGTATTTTTTCAATTTTTTATTTAATTAAATTATTATATGTTAATTAGTTTATTTTAATAGAATTGAAAATAAAATGGGTATTTGGTCTTTTAACACAAAAATTGTGTTAGTCTAGTAAACTAAGCTGCATGGAATCGGAAGCGGGTACGGGGAAGCGGATACGTTAAGAAACGCGGAAGCGATTTTTTTGGAAAAAATAGGAATCGGGTACGTTTTGGAAGCGTATATACAACAAATAAATATATAAATTATAAAATATTGTAAATTTATAAGTTATAGTCAAATTAAAAAGTTTAGGCATTTTAATTATTACATACAAATCAGAATCAAAACTACACATAGATAAAAGTATTATAATTTTAGTAATACGATATTTAAAAGTTTAATATTCTTGTATTCAATAAAAACATATAAGACAAATTAGGTATTAACAATAGTTGAAGTTGGGAATAAAATGGAAAAACGGTTTATTTCTCCCCGATAACTATCGTATCTGGCCAGATAAAGCCCGATCTTTGACTTCTGTCTATATACCCATGCAACATAAGTTAAATGGGTATTTCCCCACCAATTGAAAGTTTGAGATCTTAATGTCCATGAATCCTGATTTCGGCTGTTTACTGCGTAAACCCGAGACGGAACCATGTTTCGGTTGTAACTTAACCAAAAAAAAAACCGATTCTTATTAAAAAACCCGACTCATTGTCGTGTTCTTCCCAAAAAGCAAAATCCCCAAATTCAAAATTAAGAACCCTAATTTTCGAACTCTCAATTTTCGAATTGAAAACCCGATTTCCAGTTTAGGATGAGCAACCTATCATCCAGTTCGACGGGATCAACGGGACCACGTGGAAGAGGAAGAGTGGTCGGAGTGCCAACAAGATGCTGGTGCGGGGAAGGAATCGTGGCACTCATTTCAAAATCTGATCTGAATCCTTACCGGAGATACTTTCGTTGTGGTTTTGCTGCAAAAAATAGGGTAATTTCAATCCTCTATTTCATCTAATTTCTATGTTTTCATGTTTTAGATTCATGTAATCTTGAAAAAGATCATTGTTCATGTGTTGATGAAGCTAAGGAACGATGATCACGTTTTTAAATGGGTTGATGAAGCTTTGATCAATGAGATAGATACATTGACAGCAAAGCATGGTGAAATTGAGAAGGAGCTGAAAGAGCTTAGAAGAGAGAGGTTGGAGTTTGAGAAGATGGTTTCCGAGAAGGTTGAAATGAACATGGAGAAGGAGTTGAATGAGAAAGTAGAAGAAGCTTTGTCTGAAGCGAAAAGAAGCAATAAGAAGATGATGATTGTCGTAGTGTTAGGGTGAATGATCATGATCGGATTCTCTAAACTTGTAGGATGAATGTGTTAGGTTTGGAGTTGTGATCTTGGTACGTTTGGTGAATGTATGTTTGTTCTAGCTTTGTGGGATTTGTGTTTGTACGTTTATGTGTTTAAGTTAATGACAATGCATGTTCTTATTAGAGAAATCAGGAAGAAAGCAATATCCAAATTTAAACATTCCATTCAAAATAAAGAAGAAGGATACAAATAAGCCAACAATCAACCGAAAGATTCAAAATAAAGAAGTTAAGGATACAAATAAGTCACTGTGGTCGAAAATTACATCAGAGACAACCACAATATAAGTACCCTATGTCTTCTACCCTAGTTCTTCTAAGCTATGACTACTAGATCAAGCTTGAGTGAGTGAGCCTTGACTTGGTTCAGGCTGAGATGGCTGCGAAGAAGAAATTGAAGCCTGCAAAAGAAGACCAAGTGTTAGCATAATCCAACAAGAGAGAACCAAAATGTCATAGATTATCTAACCACAAACCTTGTCTTTATTATGGTGTCTTGAATTATGATCAGCTGCCCCACAAACTCTACAATGCATGATTCTTTTCTTAGCCTTTGGCTGCTTCTTAGTAGGAGACTCATTCACACCCTTTTTCCTTTTCTTCTCAGCCTTTGTCATCTTCTTGTCTTCTTCTCCTTCTGGTGGCTCAGATACATACACTCTCGGATGATTACTCTCGGGCCAGAACTTAGGACCCCTTTGTGGAAAGAGGCCATCCGTGTAATTCTTCTTCCACATTGCTGTCCTAAACCATTGACATACAAAGTTCTCTGGTTCAAGCTTCTTGTGGAGGATGACACCATATGCATGCTCACACGGGATTCCACAAATCTGCCATTTGATGCTCACCAGCTAAGAACTTTGTAACATAAGGTGTACAGACACCTGCAAAATCAGAGAAATATATGTTTTAAAGTCAAAATCAGAGAAATCAGAGAAATATATGTTTTAAAGTCAAAATCAGAGAGATAACAAGGCTTAATAGAGTAGCTAACCTGTGTGAGTATGGGATTCAACAGACCTTTTGGCAATCCTCACCATTGCCATTCTTCTGATTGTCTCTAACATCGCAACAAATGGCTTCTCTCTTGCCTTGTTCAAAGATCCGTTGAAAGACTCCACTGAGTTGTTGTCAACGTCCTCACAGAAGCTGCCTATCTTTTGGAATGCCCTAACCCAACTCCTAGGATTTGTCTTCATCACAGACTCATAGACCTTAGTGTCATAGCACCGTATCTTCTCCAAATGCTGCTTATACTCATGCTCATTATAAGACCAAGCCAAAGGTAAGCTACCTTTTGCCTATCAGATATCATGATGAAGCCTTCACCATCCCTTAATCCGAAGTCTTCTTTCAGCAGCTTAATAAACCACACCCAGTTTTCTGTGTTCTCTACTTTAGCAACTCCCCAAGCTATAGGATATATGCGATTGTTTGCATCCCTACCTAAGGCTACAAGTAATTGTCCCTTAACCTTATTCTTTAGAAAACAACCATCAATGCCTATTAGAGGCCTACAAGACTCCTTCCATGTCTTTCTAAGACTGTCAAAACATACATAGAACCGATTGAACATGTCTTTACCTTCAGCACTCGTGAGACATTCAACTTTAACCCGTGAATCCTTGTTTGATTCAACTATCTCAGCCGCATAATCCCTTAATCTTGCAAATTGATCATCATACTCTTTCTCAATCCATTGCAAAGCCTTCTTTCTCGCAGACTGACATTGATTCCTAGTGACACTAATCTTCCATTGTTCCATAATTATTTCTTCAATCTTTGCGGGCATGTAAAATTCAGGACTATCCCTAATCTTATCAACAAATAACCTAGCTATATGTGGCACCTTAAACATCTCACATTCTCCATTAGGGATACAGCTATGTGTGTCAACAAACTTCCTAATCTTCCACATATTATCACTCTTGAGAATGGCCGCATAAACTTTCCACTCACACTTAGCTCCACCTTTTTTCCCATCACAACCAACACATATGAACCCAATTTTATCGGAATCATACTTGTACTGCTTTATATTGCAGCCGGTTCTGAGAGCGTAATCAACTACCGCCTCTTTGAACGCAACCCCACTGAAAAAACTCTGCTTGTGGTACAAAAACCCATCACCACGCCTGATATGTGTGTCAAATCTTCCAGAACCGTCGGCGTTTTCCTCATCATCACTCTCCGGGTACACATCGTGGCGAATTGGTGGTTCGTCGGTCCACTCCTTTAGCAGTTCTTCCATGTGAAACTCATCTCTGTCTTCAGCTTCAGGATCGACATCACCAACAAGATCAGGGTCGTGAAGGGCTAACGACATCGATCAAACTCGGGGAAAAGTTAGGGTTCGTCGAGAGAAAATAGGGGATTTTCGATTTAGGTTTTAGTTTTAGGTTTCAATTTGTTTTTTCGGGTAATGGTTTAGGCTGGGTTGTAAACGGGTTGTAATTTGGGGGAAAAACGGGTTGTAAACGGGTTTAGGCTGGTTCTAATTAGGTTTACGTGGTTAAAGCATCGGTTTGGTATACAGTAAACCAATTAAACCCAGCGCTATGGGGTTTTAAATCTCTAACTTAATATTCATGGACATTAAGATCTCAAACTTTCAATTGGTGGGGAAATACCCATTTAACTTCTGTTGCATGGGTATATAGACAGAGGTCAAAGATCGGGGTTTATCTGGCCAGATACGATAGTTATCGGGGGGAAATAGACCGTTTTTCCGAATAAAATTGAGTCAAAACGTGGAAGAAAACAAAAATCATAAAAACAGTTGGGCCTCAATGGTTTAAACAATTGGGCCAAGGTAAAATAAAAAGCGAACAATCTACGTGGAAAAATAAGTCGTCTTCTTCGTTTGGATCTGGTCGAGAACCACGATTCCGATTCAAAAATCACGATTCCAACCCAGAATCGTGCGCTCCCACAACGTTTCCAATCGTCACTTTTTCAGAATCACGCTTCCCTTGCGATTCCAAGCGCTTCCGGACGCTTCCGCTTCCGTTTCCGATTCCGGAGCGGGAATCGGAACTTAGCCGGCGATTCCGTGCAACGTAGCTAGTAAACTACAATATTTGGGTGTTAATCTAGTTATTTTTTCCAAAATTTGGGTCAAACTAGATAAATTTCAGAATTTATTATAATGATGATCTAGGCTTTTGAGATATTATTTTTTTGGATTAAATGGAAAGAGGACCCATCCATGTGCAACGGCAATAATCTCGGTTTTCAGACCAGTTAGTTTCCTAAATGTTTCCAGTAATTAAGTTTTGTTTACTTTAATCCCATCTCTTTAACTAATGTTTAGTTTTTGTTCCCTTGCAAAGAATCACACGTGGCGGGATATCATTGCACAAATGACTCACAATACCGTCGTTAGCCTGCAAGCCAAAAGCCACGTTAATATTCCCGTTAGTTTGATGACGGCAACATCACCACGTTACATAGTCCCCTTACTCCGTTTATCAGATAAGATCATAAGAATGGGTAAATTAAATTTTCTAAAATATAAATCATCTGTTAATGGAAAAATTATAAATAGCACTTATAAACTCCAAATATCTTAAATTATTGCGCGTGAATTAATTTTGAAAAAGTAAAATAAAGGGAATTCAATTTAAATTAAAACAAAAAGAAAGGAATATTTGAAGGCTTATTATTAAAATTAATTAATGAAACAAACGGTCGTGAATGTGAAAAGTAACGGCGTTAAAATATACAAAATCCGGAAAAGGCTAAGAAGCGCGTCTATTTAAAGAAAGAGCTCTTCTTCTTACCCAAACAAAAAAAAAAAATCTAGACTTTGCCCTTCTTTTAGCGATTTTTTCATTCATCGATCCTACAAATCTACACCGATCTTTCCAGAAATTTTGTGGTTTTGAGGTTTAAAGATCTTCAATTTCATCACCATTTCCCCCGATCTTCGTTTGAATTTCTATGTTTGATTGAAGAGGAGATTCATGAATTTATAGCTTCTTCTTTGTTTCGTCTCTGTTAGGTTCGTGAGGGAGGGGTTGATTTAGTTGTTGTTAGGGTTTGGATCTTCGAAATCGATTTTTTAATGGAAGGGTGTCTCTTGTTGATACCCGTACGTGAAGATCTATGTTTGTTGTTTCTTTAGATTTGGATTAGAGCTAGTTTTTTTTGGTTTTTATTCAATAGGAAATGTCTGTTGCTGATGTTGCTTTAAGCCCGATTCATAGAGGATCGGGGTTTGCTTTTGGTGGTTACCAAGAATCCACGCACTTCTCTGTCAAATCAGTTTTGGTCTTCCTCACTGTTTCTGGTTCTACGATGCCTATGCTCATCTTGGAGTCTGATTCTATTGCCGAGGTTAAACTTAGGATCCAGACTTGTAATGGTTTTCGGGTTAGAAGACAGAAACTTGTTTTCAGTGGTCGAGAGCTCGCTAGGAATGCGTCACGTGTGAAGGATTATGGTGTGACTGGTGGTAGTGTGTTGCATTTGGTGCTTAAGCTCTATGATCCTTTGCTTGTCACTGTGATTACTACTTGCGGCAAGGTCTTTCAGTTTAATGTGGATCGTCGTAGAAATGTTGGGTATTTGAAGAAACGGATCTCTAAAGAGGGTAAAGGATTTCCTGAGGTTGATGATCAAGAGATCTTGTTTAAAGGAGAGAAGCTTGATGACAACAGAATCATCGATGGGATTTGTAAAGAAGGAAACTCTGTGATACATTTGCTGGTTAAGAAATCGGTCGAAGAAGCTTCTTATCTCCCTGCTCTTGTTGATGATACATTGAAAAGAGAAGAAGACGTTGCTTCTGGTAAAGACTTCTTGTTAGAGCCTGTTGTTCTTAACCCCGCTGTGAAATTACCTGAGGTTCTCGAGGATATGATTGACCGCACGGTTGATGGGTTGAACAAAGGTAATCCACCAGTGAGATCAGCAGAAGGAACGGGAGGGACATATCTGATGCAAGATTCTTCAGGTCTCAACTATGTATCTGTCTTCAAGCCCATGGATGAGGAACCAATGGCTGTGAACAATCCTCAGCAGCTTCCTCTGTCATCAGATGGTCAGGGATTGAAGAGAGGAACTAGAGTAGGAGAAGGGGCAACAAGAGAAGTTGCTGCTTACTTGTTAGATCATCCAAAAAGCGGACCAAGATCTGTGTCTAAAGAAGTTATGGGTTTTGCCGGTGTGCCACCAACTGCTATGGTCAGAAGCTCACACAAAGTGTATAATTACCCAAAGCGATTCAGCAGTTGTGCTACAAAAGATGCCAAAGTTGGTTCTTTGCAAATGTTCATGAAGAACAATGGAAGCTGCGAAGACATTGGCCCTGGAGCTTTTCCTGTCGAGGAAGTGCACAAAATCTGCGTCTTTGACATAAGAATGGCAAATGCAGATCGACATGCTGGAAACATATTGACTGGGAAAAGCGAAGAAGGAAAAACTGTTCTTATTCCCATCGATCATGGCTATTGTTTGCCCGAGAATGTAAGTTTCTCTTCACAATTATTTCAGCATTGAAATGGCTTGATCTAGAAGTAAAGCTTATTTATTGAAATGGGTTTGCAGTTTGAAGATTGTACATTTGAGTGGCTCTACTGGCCGCAAGCGAAACTCCCGTTTTCTCCAGATACTCTTGACTACATAAACTCGCTAGACTCCGAACAAGACATCGCGCTTCTGCAACTCCATGGCTGGAATGTTCCTGAAGCTGTCTCACGCACGCTACGTATCTCCACGATGCTGCTGAAGAAAGGCGTTGAGAGAAACCTGACGCCCTATCAAATAGGAAGCATAATGTGCAGAGAAACGGTGAACAAAGACTCAGCGATTGAAGAGATAGTGAGAGAAGCTCATAACTCGGTGTTACCTGCGTCTAGTGAGGCTACGTTTCTTGAAGCTGTCTCTGTAGCCATGGATCGTCGTCTGGACGAGCTAACTAAGTAACCTTTGATGTACATAATAAAGTTGGTTATACAGTATGTATGTATATGTAATGTATCTATAATGTGTGTTTACGTTGAGAAAAACTTTGATAGGCTCTTCTTGGATAAGTTTTTTTCTTCCATGAAAGAAGCCTTTAAGCTTTTGTGTTTTTTTCCCTAAACCATAAATAAAACGTTGTTGCTTTTTGTTCGTATTATCAATTGTGCTGTGTGTGTACTGTTTAGGACCTATTCTTGTTAAGTATGGAACCGGTCACCGGAAACCAAATTAGAAATTAAGAATGGCGGCATATAATGGGCCTATCTCTGGCCTATTTTCAAAGGCCATGGATGGGCATTTGTGATATTTTTTTACAAGTGGGATCCAACCAAAGTAACTACAGTGTGCTCTTATTGATGAGTAGTCTGACTTGTGTAATTTTGTTTTTTCCCTTAACACTATTAGATAAAAAAAAAAAATCTTAGACAAGGCTTGCAATAAAAGAGCAAATCTCACTGAAAATGGACTGTAGACAGTTTTCACCCACTACAAATACACCCAAAAATAAAATAAAAAGGATCATGTGACTTTGGAATCTTGTAAATCTTTCTCATTAAATACCAAATGACACAAAGAAAAACATTCTTGATTAATGCAATAAGCGAGTGGTGAAATTAATCAACTAGACAATCTCATTTGTCAAAACAATCTAATCTACAAATTTACTGAAACTTTTATAGTTAAGTCTATTAATAAAAATAGAAATGGTAATGAAATGAAGGAAGGATTTGATGATTTGTTTGCCCTAAAGACACATAATAAATGCTCTCTCGCTTTTAGTTTGAAGCACTGTTGTACTCTCCACTCTCTCTCACTCACTCTCACAGTGTCTCTGTTTCCTCGCCTCCAAACACTCTCCGATCTCGGCAATGGCCAAGCCTCACGGTCGTCGCCGTTCTTCTGGCCGAACAAATCTAGCTTCTTGCGCCGTCGCCACCGTATTCTTGCTCATCTTACTCGTTGTCCTTCTTGTTGTTTACTTCACAGTCTTCAAACCAAAAGACCCCAAGATCTCCGTTAACGCCGTCCAACTTCCGTCATTCGCCGTCTCAAACAACACAGCCAACTTCACCTTCTCTCAGTACGTCGCCGTTAGAAACCCTAACCGTGCCGTTTTCTCTCATTACGATAGCTCTATTCCTTGTTTGAAAAATCGCTAGGCGCTAGTCGGGCGTTCGGCATGGGCCTAGCGATTAATCGGAAAATCGGATTAAAATCGGGGATTAATCGGGGATTAGTTTTAGGGTTATTTTAATATTTTTAAAATATATTAATTCAATATTGTTTTCAAAATTACAGTAAAAACAAATTTTTATGATTTTTATTAAAATTTGAACACAAGTTATGTAAAACATCACAAACTCCCAATTCAAATGATTGAATAACAAAAATAAAATGTTTTTTTTATACTTGCAATCTAAAAAATAATCGGGGTATGTAAGATTAGGCGGAAAATAATCGGATTAGGCGGAAAATAATCGGATTAGGCGGAGAATAATCGGGTTATTGATTTTTTAGGGGATTAGTCATTAATCGAGGCGGAGAGGGTGGGCCTAGCGATTAAGCGGGGAGTAATCGGAACTAGGCGGGGATTTTTAGAACAGGGGCTCTATTCAGCTTCTTTATTCGGGTAATCAAGTCGGGTTTATGTTCATACCCGCCGGTAAAATTGATTCGGGTCGGATTCAATACATGGCCGCCACTTTCACCGTTCAATCCTTCCCTATTTCTCTTCCTT